TTTTTTTTTGTTTTTTTGGGGGGGGGGGGAGGAGGGTTCTCATTCTTATTTAGACCTACAACAAAGATCAGAGCTATTTGGTCCCTAAAAGGAATTGTAGTTTTCTATCCTTGGAAAATATCTTTCTTAATATTATTATTCTCCTTTCATATGAAGTTGTTGTAACTTGAGCTCATCATCTTATATGCACGGGGAAGGAAAAACGAACAATTTACACTTTAATAGCTATTATTTTACTGACTTTAATATTCACAGGCTTTTAAGGATAAAATATCCTTGAGCATTTTCACTATTTCGAATAGTATTTAAGGTTCTACTTTTTATTCGCAATTGATTTTCGTGTGCTTATACGTATTGTCTTTTCAGAGGACACTAACGGAGGTTTGATGTTTCAAAAATCAACATTTTCCCCAACTTCTCTTTATTAAAAAAGTCGTCTGTCTAATATAATTAGATTAAGATCATAAAAATAGAAGCTTGTATTATAGCTAGATCCGATTAAGTAAATAGAGTATGATAACAACATTATGAAACTGAATTTATATAACAAAAGTAAAGTTACTGATACATCTTCGAGTTTATTCTTATCCATTAAACTTCAAACAATTTTTTTTTCCGTGTATCAGAGTTGAGTGGGACAGGCAATAAGAGGATGAAAGGAAGAGTAAAGACAAAACGAAAGCAAGAATTTCGATATCTTACTTTACTAATTTCATTTACTATAAGTTCCTAATTTTCCATTTTAAATTATTAGAACACATAAAAGAGACTTTTCAATGATAATTTTCTTCCTGAAAAAAAAAAAAAAATTTCCTAAAAAAAGAAAGAAGATAATTTACTTCACTTCTAAAAAATCAAATAAGCTAACGAAAGACTATTAAAAATTCTTAAATTATTTCTAAAAAACCAAATAAGCTAACGAAAGACCATTACAAATTCTTAAATTAATACTCTTTCTGTCTCAATTCACGTGACATCATTTAACTTGACATAATTATTTTTAAAAAGAAAAACTTTTTAACTTAATGATCTAAAAACAAATCTTAGACATTTAGATAATTATAAATTATTTCATCAAAAAAATTTAAATTCATTTTAATAATAACAAAGATGTGATTCATTTTGAAAAGAAATACCAAATAAATTGGAATAGGGGCAATATCAATTTCATACCTAAATCACTAGATATTCCTATTACTCCTTTTAGATTAAAAATCCTTATATTCACTCTCTAGAAAACAAACAAAAAAAAGTAAAAATATTACTTATTTTTAAAAAAATAATTACTATTACAGTAAATACTCTTTCATCCTTAATCAAGAGGTCTCATGTTCGAGTCTCCTTTATTAGGGAATGCATTATCTCTAATATGAGACTTTTTGATGTAAATCTAAATTTAGTCGAACTTCAATATAAATACTGAACATTGGGTGAGAAACAAAATAAATAAATAATTACTACTACAAGTTAAGTATAAGTACCCTTTTGAAGTTAGCAGCTACCAAACAAATACATGTAAACAATACTTACATGTATATATGCCTGGGAAACAGAGCCCTTCATGCCAAACCCCACCCCCATTTGGTACAAGGTGGGGGGGCCTTTTTTTTTTTCCTTCAACTTTTTAAAAAGCATTGAAAGACCATCTTCCTCTCTCTCTACTCCTTTCTATATTTTCCAAATATAAACTCTTTATCTTTCTCTCTCTCTTCACATTTTCTGTCTGGAAAACATCATCAAAAACAAGACTTGCCTCTTCTTGCTACACAACCAATTCAAGAATCCATTTTTTCCAACTTTTTTAGAGGACCCAAAACTTCTGTTTAACTCATTTTTCTTTGTATGATATGTGAGTGTCTACAATCTTTCTACTTTTTTTTTGTGTGTTGTATGTTGTTACTGTACTTTTTTATATTTGTGGTTTTGTTTCTCTCTTTTTGTAGAGTTTAGGGTATTAACTTCTTGATTCTGTTAAGAACTTTCCATTCTTGGAATTTGCAACATTTCTCGAGCTATGGAACATTTTTTCTTGATATTCTTGGTATCCTATGTTAATTAGTTGACTTGGGTATGAGCTTTTGAAGGGTTTTGATCTTTTGGTCAATAATTTTCATGGATTCTGTTGTTTTAGCCATGGATTGCTCTAACGTTGATATCTTTAGGCTGTTAGTTTCTAGTTTTAGGTATAAAGTTTTGATTTTTACTCTTTAAATTTGGATTAATTTGGTAATGTAGGTTACTTTTCTGTTTGGTGGATAGAGACCTCCATGATCTTTAGGTGAAAAAGTATTTTTACTCTTTAAATTTGGATTTATTTGGCAATGTAGGTAAATTTTCTGTTTGGTGGATAGAGACATCTATGATCTTTAGGTGAAAGAGTTATGGTTGACAGTGCAGATTTTTTTCTCTTTTTGTGTTGTTGTGTGAGTTTTAAGGTAGCTATACCATATGTGACTGTTTTTGGAAGATTATGGTTAATTGATTAGGGACTTTTGATGTAGATAATTTGGAGTTATGACAAGGGTAACCCTTGATTTTGGAGATACAATGCAAAGGGATGCTGTTCCTCCTGTATCAGCAGATGTGATCTTCCCATCTAGTCGCTTTCCAAATTACAAAATTGGACCTAACAATCAGATTATGGAGGTCAAGCAGGATTCTAAGGCACTTACAATGAAAGAGGTGGTTGCTAGAGAAACTGCACACTTACTAGAGCAGCAAAAAAGGCTGTCTGTTCGCGATCTAGCCAGTAAATTTGAAAAGGGTCTGGCTGCTGCTGCCAAGTTGTCTGATGAGGTAACACCTTAATTATGCTTTGGTATTTCCACTACTCTTGAATGGCTAGTTCCATTGTCCTAACACAGAAGTTGCCTTATCAGCCAATTACCCCTGTGATAATCTAAAATCAATGAAGGGATAAGTCAGGAACATGGAATAGGGGAAATCTTAGTAATTCAGTTGGTTGGCTACCAATCCCCCACCTTGTAATCCCCTCCCCCTCCCCCTACCCCCCATTCATTTAAAAAAAGAAAAGGAACCTTTGATCTTTTGGTCAATAATTTTCATGGATTCTGTTGTTTTAGCCATGGATTGCTCTAACGTTGATATCTTTAGGCTGTTAGTTTCTAGTTTTAGGTATAAAGTTTTGATTTTTACTCTTTAAATTTGGATTAATTTGGTAATGTAGGTTACTTTTCTGTTTGGTGGATAGAGACCTCCATGATCTTTAGGTGAAAAAGTATTTTTACTCTTTAAATTTGGATTTATTTGGCAATGTAGGTAAATTTTCTGTTTGGTGGATAGAGACATCTATGATCTTTAGGTGAAAGAGTTATGGTTGACAGTGCAGATTTTTTTCTCTTTTTGTGTTGTTGTGTGAGTTTTAAGGTAGCTATACCATATGTGACTGTTTTTGGAAGATTATGGTTAATTGATTAGGGACTTTTGATGTAGATAATTTGGAGTTATGACAAGGGTAACCCTTGATTTTGGAGATACAATGCAAAGGGATGCTGTTCCTCCTGTATCAGCAGATGTGATCTTCCCATCTAGTCGCTTTCCAAATTACAAAATTGGACCTAACAATCAGATTATGGAGGTCAAGCAGGATTCTAAGGCACTTACAATGAAAGAGGTGGTTGCTAGAGAAACTGCACACTTACTAGAGCAGCAAAAAAGGCTGTCTGTTCGCGATCTAGCCAGTAAATTTGAAAAGGGTCTGGCTGCTGCTGCCAAGTTGTCTGATGAGGTAACACCTTAATTATGCTTTGGTATTTCCACTACTCTTGAATGGCTAGTTCCATTGTCCTAACACAGAAGTTGCCTTATCAGCCAATTACCCCTGTGATAATCTAAAATCAATGAAGGGATAAGTCAGGAACATGGAATAGGGGAAATCTTAGTAATTCAGTTGGTTGGCTACCAATCCCCCACCTTGTAATCCCCTCCCCCTCCCCCTACCCCCCATTTATTTAAAAAAAGAAAAGGAACATGGAGTATCTTTCCTTTTTTGGCCAACTCCCGGCTTGTAATGTTGAGTTTGTATTAAAGAAGTGAATTTTGTATTTTTGATACATAGCCTCTACCTTTAAAGTGTTACATCATTTACTCCATGCAAGACACCATTCTTTCAAGGCGAAGAGGATGATTTTATTGAACAACAGTAAAGGCTATAGTGATAAAAATATCTTATATGTGGGCTCCAGGCAAAAATGAAAGATGCAGCTTCACTGGAGAAGCATGTGCTGTTAAAGAAGCTCAGAGATGCTCTTGAAGCGTTGAGAGGACGTGTGGCGGGTAAAAACAAGGATGACGTGGAGGAAGCTATTGCTATGGTTAGTTTTATGTCATTTACAAGCTTTCTTTTTCTTGTTCAGTATTCCCTTTTTGAGTGATATTGTTATTGCAAGATGAATATTCATGCAAGGAAAGAATCTGAAAACCTACTTTCTAATGTTATGCATGCAGCAAACTTGCTGTGCTTACTTCCTGTAACATTGGGTAAAAGAATATGCTACTAATAAATGCTTTGCACGTCGCTGCTGATATAGCCCGTGATATTTAGAATTATCAGAAATAATATTGTGTACCAAATAAAGTATATGTGCGAATGAATGTGAATGAAGACTGCCATTACTATTTACGACACCAGAGACAGTTTGTACCATACTTCCATATTTTGACCCCAGCATCGTCAGTTTTCTGCTGACTTTCTGGTTTTGAACTGAAATATCAAATTGTCTGCATGATTACTTATATTGTTATGTGTGATTTTGTGATTAAATTGTTCGTGCTGATATGTTCTTGGAATCCAACCAATTTGCATATTTGACTGAGAAGCCTAGTAAGAGAGTGGGTCCACCAGACTAGAGGAAGACAAAGAGTATTCCTAGGCTTTTCAGGAATTGGTATTATTGAAGAAGCTCGTTAATCTTTATACTGGAATGAAATGGGAAGAACACAGCAGATTTGACCCAAAATAACCTGCTGATACATGAATGTGAACTTCGATGTCTTCAATCTACTAACTAGGCTGCTATCCTTGATTTTGCATGGACTTGTATTACTCTGGACTCTAGATTTGGCTGGAGAAGGAAAGAGAAATACGTGTGAGCTAAGAGCTTTGTTTACAACTAATCCGAGTTTGCTTGGACCAAGAGTGTGCACTTCTTGGCTGTTGTACTTGGGATATGACCTTAAATTTTCATGTACAGGATATTCCCACTAAATTATTGGTCCAACTAAAAAACTGATGCATAATCTTTTACTTTGCAAATCAGAGTGATTAGTCATTGGAGAAGATCTTTTAGAGGCTTCATGCACTATAATGGAATCTGAAATTGTATGATGCAGTTAATAGAAACATGAGGAAAGCTGAAGTTGTTAACTAGTTCAGATAATCTCAAGACCCTTTAATAAGTGCTTATAGAACTATCGGGAATTTTCTGTGTCATACTTAACAGTTTGTTTCTTTTCAGGGTTGGGCTCAATGTTAAGAGAACTCTGATAAAAATTAGTCCATCACTTCAGATGCATCTTCCTATGCTGCATGCATCTCTCTTAAAATAAAATTTGTGTGAAGAATATCCTTGTATATGGCAGTAGTTGCTGTTGAAAATGTCATATTTCCCTCCATCTTATCAGTAAATTGTTGTTATGTTGAATCTTTTACAGGTTGAAGCTTTAGCAGTACAATTAAATCAAAGGGAAGGAGAACTGATTCAGGAAAAGACTGAAGTGAAAAAGCTTGCAACGTTTCTGAAGCAGGTAAAACATAGTATGTCTTAGAAGTGGTCTTGTGTTCATTCTATTACGAACTCTGAATAGAACTTTACCGAGTTGATGTACTTTCTTGATTGTAGGATGCTTATTCTGTTTGTTGGTGCAGAAATTTTTCTGGTAAATGGCATAATCAATAAGAAAAGTAGTGCTTTCTTCCGTTAGAGGAGCTTCTTGAAGCTATGCTCATACAGAATTTCTTTAGTGCCTTATTTAAAAAGATTTCTTGAGTCTTTTTTGTCTCTACTGGAATTTGAACCCTAGTGTCATGACTTGGTACTTTGTCATACCACTTGGGCATGAAATTAAAGCATAAGTGGCTAATCTAGAGTCTTGGAGAGGTTTGGAGAAGACTCAAGAATACTCGAGAAGAATTCTTGGAAGGCCTTAGAAATCTCTAGACTTGTAGAGACTTCTAGTAGAGGGGCCTATTTGTAAATATGCAGGGACTTGTGTAGCAATTTTTATTTGCACTTTAGCCCCTAGGTGTGTAGTATAAATAGATGGACATTCATTTGTAAACCTAGCAAAAGCAAGCAATCTTCAAGCAATACAAAAGCCTCCTTATAAACTCTTGTGCCTTTCTTAAGTTGTCGAGTGCTGCACAGAGTGTTTAGTTGAATTATAAGTCCGTGACACTAGTCACCAAAGTTTTCACCCACTTCATTGACCATTAGGTCATACCTAGGGTGCTAATCTAGAAGCAATTTCTAGGAATAACTGGAGACTGTTTTTGCCCTTATGAGTTGTCCTGGTTAGATTACTAAGCTTGAATTTGAACTATTATTTGAAACTCCCCTGAGCTTCTTTTAGTAAATTTCTCTGATAAGTGAGCTTGTTAAGTAATTGCTCCAATTGATGGTCTATTGTTGTAATCACATTGATAAGTTTGTTATAAAAACAAATTAAATAAAAATTATAACAACTTAACCTTTTAGTGAAGCGGTTTACATTATTTAACATGGTATCAGAGGTCTTGAATTCTATCCTTGCTGCCATCGTCAATAAATATTTCAGTGAAATTGACCCAAGTTAAAGAAAAGGCCTGTATATGATGAGGTGCAAATATAATACAGATAAATAAAAGTGTCTTAACTTCTAACTGTTTAAGTTAAGTTTTTAGATGAGACGGTTCACACAATTTAACAAGTTATTTTTGTCAAAAATAACAATATATGCGGTTAAATCTTATATGATTTAAATTGTGTAACTTCTCTATTTTGAGATTTAAGGATAAAGCAATGTGCATTTTACATATTTGGTACATTAATTTGTAAGTTGACTGTGTGTTGGAATATTTATTTTACGATAAGTCAATAATTATAGCCATTTGATTGGCTTGAATAACTGTTTTTAACACACCCTTTTAGACCTATGGTTTTCCAATTATGTTCCTTAACAGATAATCTACACAGTTATTATGTTTACTGTTTAGTTATTACTTGATCAATTTGAATCATAAGTGCGAGATATCTCTCTTGTACAGGCAACTTCTATTCTTGTGACATTCAAAACCAACCAAATGGCCATAGAGTAGTGTTGAGGCTGAAAATAAAACTATGGGATCAGTTCAAGTTGTAGTTTAATTTCTTGAGTTATCCACAACTTCAATGTGTAGGTCCGGAGTCTTACCACTTTCTCTTTGTCTATCTGCTCAATCAGTCAAGGAGACCTTCATCCCAATATTGTGCTGATACATCCCAAATTTCTCTCTTTTCAGTGTTCATTCTACTATTTTTCATTGTTACTCTCACTTTGATTCTGATCATAGACGCAATTTGATCACAGGCTTCTGAAGATGCTAAGAAACTTGTTGAGGAAGAAAGAGCTTATGCAAGGGCTGAGATTGAGAATGCAAGAGCAGCTGTCCAGAGAGTGGAAGAGGCTCTTCAGGAGTATGAGCAAATGTCCGGGGCCTCAGGAAAGCAGGTTTTTCTAGCATTCTGATTGTCCAATTTGGGTTTAATAATGGTGGAATTATTACTCTTTTTCTTTTCATATTCTGCAAATTGATGTTTTTGGTTCTCTGTCTTTTCTCTTAATATTGACTGTTCTGAAGACCCTTGATCTTTTGTGCAGTGTTGTTCTCCTTTAGTACATATTTATGTCATGCTTTGTTCTTATAAACCTTTTGGTTCTTCAAGCTTATATGCACTATTAGTGGAAACTGGTATCATACGACATACTGTTTTTTCATTTTTGGATGTTCTCTCTTTTGCCAGCTGCTCGCTCTCACTGTATTAAGTTTGTTGGCGTGGAAATGACAACTTTGGTTGTATGCAAAACTTTATCATACTAAAACTGTGACTTATTATCTGTACACTGTTCTATTCCACATTTATTTTGGTTTATTTAAATCTTTATTATAAGCAGTTTGTTTTGAGCCCACAACATTGTATCTTTATCATGCTAACCTAATATATTTTGCTGGATTTTAGGACATGGACGAATTGATGAAGGAAGTTCACGAGGCAAGGCGAATCAAAATGCTACATCAGCCTAGTAAGGTATCTGCATGACTCTTTCTACTGTGATGTTGCATTAATTCTTTTAAGATTTCGTCAATGTTTCTTTATTTTCTCTATTTGGTTAATTATTTAATCTTGGTCATATATCTGCTTATGCTACATGTGTTGTCGGACATATGTATATTTGTAAACAGGAATTCTTAGCCTTAGGAAGCAACCTTTTACGGATCCTTAATACAACTTCTTAAAATCAAGTAATAAAGTTTTAGTAAACAAATGGGCAAAAACCTTAATCATAACTTTATATAGAACTTTTTGTGCTTTTGGTCCCCATGATGTCACAACATTCATATTTTAGCCTCTACAATCTGAAGCTTAGTCTTTATGTTATCCAAATTCAAAAGAAACCAGCCAAAGATAATAAAGAAGACTTCCAAATTGTGAGAAATATATGGGAAAAATATTATTGAATTGTGTATCTAAATAGTTACATTGAGACCCTATTTATAGACACTACATTGGAATCCTTTTCCAACTAGGATTCCTATTCTTATTCCTATTCCTATTCCTATTCTAAGTAGGAAATACTTATTTCTATTCTAACACTCCCTCTCAAGCTGGTCCATACAAATCATATGTACCTAGCTTGTTACAGATGTAATTAATACGAGGACATGTGAGGGACTTGGTGAAGATATCTGCAAGCTGATCATTTGACTTCACAAATTTTGTAACAATATCTCCCGAGAGTATCTTTTCTCTGACAAAGTGATAGTCAATCTCAATGTGCTTAGTCCTTTCATGAAACACTGGATTTGATGTGATATGAAGAGCCGCTTGATTATCACACACAAGTTCCATCTGATCAATTTTGCCAAATTTTAGTTCTCCCGGCAATTATTTGATCCAAACTAGCTCACAAGTTGCTGTCGCCATTGCTCGATATTCTGATTCTGCACTAGATCGAGCAACCACATTCTGTTTCTTACTTTTCCACGACACCAAATTACCTCCTACTAAAACACAATATCCGGATGTCAAACGTCTGTCAGAGGGTGATCCTGCCCAATCAATGTCTGTATATCCAATGATATGCTCATGGCCTTGATCCTCAAAGAGTAGTCCTTTACCGGGAGATGACTTTATATATCGCAAAATACGAACAACTGCTTCCCAATGACTATCACAAGGGGAAGTCATAAACTGACTTACAACACTCACAGGAAAAGAGATGTCAGGTCTAGTCACTGTGAGATAATTCAACTTTCCAACAAGCCGTCTATATCTTTCAGGATTACTAAGTGGCTCCCCCTATCCTGGAAGGAGTTTAACATTTGCCCCATATGAGTGTCAATAGGTCTACATCCCATCATTCCTGTCTCCTCAAGAATGTCTAAGGCATACTTGCGTTGAGAAATAACAATACCTGATCTAGACTGAGCAACCTCAATACCTAGAAAATACTTCAATCTGCCTAGGTCTTTAGTCTGGAAGTGCTTAAAGAGATGTTGCTTCAAATCGGTGATACCATCTTGATCATTACTGGTGATAACAATATCATCAACGTAAACAACCAAATAGATACATAGACTTGGTGCAGAATGACGATAAAACACAGAGTGATCAGCTCCACTACGAGTCATGCCAAATTGTTGAATA